ACATGCGGCCGAATCTTGAAGAAGTGGCGGCCGAGTTGTGTTGGTTTGAATATTAGAATTATTGCCACTGAAGTCTATACGTTGTAGTAGGGGTGGACATCTTAAACCGAAATACCGAAACCGTACCCTAACCGCACCACACCATACCGATTTCATACCGTTTCATTTGGTATGGAGAGATATTTGGTACCGTACTGTACCGTACCAATAGAGTATGGTATGGTAGCGGTATCAAGATTTTGGTACCAGTCAATACCGTACCGTACCGAATATTATAACTTTATGTTTTTGTCATTTATGTTTGGATTGTGTTTGTAAGACATAAGGCATAATTTTAACTATTTTGGTTTGTAAGCCATAAGGCATGAGTTTTAACCATTTGGATTTGATGAATATGTATGGATAAATATTGATTTGGTTGATTTGGATATTGAATATATTGATGGATATTGAATATGTTGATTAGGATTTGGATATTGAATATGCTGAATCTTTGAATTTGTAACTTAGGTATCACTTATTTTGGTATTGAATATTGAATTTGTTCATTTTTAGTTGTATCATTTTGGTACCAAAATGGTACCGATACCATACCGATATCGATTTGGCACGGTACAGTACGGTACGAATTTTGGTAAACCATAATTCCATACCGTACCATACCGATTTAAATTTCCGGTATCGGTAGCAGTACAGGCTCAATACTGTACCACACCGTACCATGCCCATCCCTACGTTGTAGGGTTTGAAAGTTAAAGTTTTATATATATATATATATATATTACAGCGTGGGCCCTTTTGTTATTAAAGTCAGCAGCAACAAGCATGAATTTTTACATGCATGTTTCTATGTATAGTTGCTGGGCCAAGCAGCTTGGGTTTATAATTCATACATATATATTATATAAATGAAAATAAAGATTGAATTAAGTTCTTCGGCTGACTAATTTCAGAGCTTCAAAATTCAAAGATCATGAAGGGCACTCTCATGTCATGCTAAGAGATCAAAAGTCTTGGCCCAAGACACCGATTCAAGCCCAGATTTTCGGAGGATTATGTGCACGTGATGGAGACCTCACAAGGAAAGAAATCAAGGGAATTTTTTATATTAATTCCGAGTGTTTCAAAATAAAGAAGAATCAAGTTTGTCAGAATATTTTCCTACGAATTTAGGGGGGCCTTAGAAGGAAAGAAGTTTTAAAAGAGTTGACATTTGGCCATTCAATGGCCAGCCCATGGGCTGACTAGTGCCCTATATAAACCTTGCTCAACAAAGGCATCAGACACAACATCAGACAAACAAACTTATCTTTCGTCTCACACTTTTCTTTTCCTAGCCTTAGGATTTTATTTTTCAAGCACCTAGTGTAGTGAGTTCTTCATATTTCCAGTGTAAGTTCATATTTCTCTTGTCATTTAAATTCTTGTTTCGATTTATACTTCTTGTCATTTAAATTCAAGTTTATTTCAATAGTCTTAATTTTCATTGTTATAGCTCTTCAATTAAGTTTAATTTCAAGTTTATTTTATTTTATCGTTCTTATCGGTTTCATTTTGTTCTTGCTTTATTTATCGCTTTGATTTACTTTATCACACTTCAATTCTTGTTTACGTTTATACGCATATTTAGTTTAATTGCATTATTTTTACTTAAACCACAAAAATCACAAAAACATTTGTACGAAACCTAACCATTCTCGAGCTCGAGAAAGTGAAAGAATCTAGGCCAAGAGGAGGTTCCTTGCTTGGTCGATCAATCATTTGGTAAGAGGTTAGAAGCGCAACACATCCATCTATTCACATTCCATTCAAGCCCAATTTGGGGCTTGGTGGTGGCACGCCCCGAATCCAAAAGAAGAATGACCAAAAGTTCTTTCCGTCGGCCGCCCCGGCCGAAAAAAGGGAAACATAATTTGGCATGCCCAGTGGGACCACTAGGTTTTGTATGGTCGTAAACACTAAGAGGAATCCTAGAAGAGATCAAGAATTTGAAGAATCTAGACTTCGGTTGGAATCAGAGACAAGCATGGTTGGTCCACTCGAATTCTCTTTCTTCTTAATAGTTTGAAAGAAAAACATCAACAAATGGACAAGCTGCTGCTCGAGGGGACATAGTCATGTCGCATATCGCAGCTTTCGAGATACTAGATGCTTAAATGTAACCCAATGCTAATTTGACAAGCCTAACAAGAGCGATTATCAAAGTGTGAAATTAATATGTGAAAAACACTAGGGTTTTCGAAATCCACCCTAAACAATCCTACTCATGTTCATGGACACTCAAGTAATGAGCTCTAAATGTGCTAATGAAGATGTTTTAATCAAAACTGAGTTTAGTGGCTCAAGACGCATTGATTCTCTCTAAAATAAGTAAAGTGCATGTTTAGTGCTACAATGCTCGTGTTTCTCATACAATCAATCTAGGTGTGTTTAGTACTTCGATTTAACTAATTTGATACTTTTCTATGCCCATAACTTTATGAACAAACAAAATATATCCTTTATATTCAAGTCCAGTTACTGTGAAATGAAGAGGAATAAAAAAAAGGTAAAAGCAAACTGAAAATGCAAAATAAAAAGTACAATATTAATAATATATATCTAGCCTCTAAGACTTTTTTTCATCGTGTTGATGCACACTGTTACCATCACATAGACCATATCTTGTAGATTGTCTATGAATCGAAAATATGTGTATCTCCATGTCTTGTTAATAATTAAAGAACCACAACTCCCTAAAATCTCACTACGAACCAATGTAGTGAAAATATAAAACCACTGAAGTTGATGATGTCCATTGTCCACATCTTTATTGTAACACCCCGACTCCATTTATTTTCCTATTTTAATTAAATTAAGAGAAATTATGAATTTACTCTTGGGTTAAGGGTAATTTTGGTCATTTTCTTATCCG